TCTGGTTCTGCAACGCGCTCCAAGCCCCTCTCCACATCTTCAGCTCACTGTGGACTTTATGTAGTACACGCTGACAGTGAGCTGCGCTGAGCAGTGTCCAGCTCAGATGTTCAGATGGGAATCATTTCTTGAGTGATTTGTGATGTGCGTAACGAATAAAATGTCAGTTTGTCTGCTTGCGTCGGGGTAATTCTTTCTATTCTTTCTCCATCAAAATAAATAGTCAAATACGGGAACTATCCGGTCAACACAAGCCCTGCTTTTAACTGTTTTGTTTTCTTGTGAAAATTGTTGCAAAGAGATATAATTTAACTTGATTAACACCAGAGCCAGGCGCACTGCGCCGTTATCTCCGTCACTGTAAATGAGGGAAAAACAAACTAATCAGATCCTTTTCTTACCTTCCCCACCTACAAACTTTAACTACAACAATCAAACGTGACAGAGCCTGGATTTGTATTCTGAACAGTCTAAACATTTTTTAAAAAGAAACGTATGACAAAAGTGGCACCTGCTCTGTGAAACCACCAACAGGGTGAAAATATCAAAATATTGTAGGCAGAGACGGGCTACAACTTCTGGATCCATTTTATATAAATCGTTTTATTGATTATCTTCTTATGAAAGATAACTTTGAGGTACACGAGCGACCGGTGTTGTGACATAAATCGACTCGATGCCAAAAAATGATTAGCCACCGCGGGATCGCGCACGGTTAGGTAATTGCATTTGTAGACGAAATTCCCCAGGAATTCGCCCTAAAACTCAGCATATCTAGCAATATGGACATTCAGAAAGCAGAGATAACCTCGTCCGGTACTTAAACAGATGTTTATCGCGGATATTAGTTTTTCTAGTTCGGAAGTTGTTTTAAGTGTTGCTATTTGTCTTAAACGTTCACAATGAGGATATATTAATCCTTTTTGCAATATTTGCGATTGAAAGATTGTTTGTGTTAAGAACTGGCTTTCTTTATGTTACAGCCTTGATACTAAAAAATAAATAAACAATGTAAAATGGCACCCTGTATTGAATGTAAACGTTGTATAAATGTAAATAAACAATTCTCCAATTTGATTTATTCCCCCTTCCTTTCTTTAGTCCACTTGACATGGAGCCACAGTTAACTAGTTTGGGGCACATTTTTACTTGAAAAATAGTATTTAAACTGATCAAGCTTTGGCTTTACAATGACACTGTGTAGGTTACTATCTATACATTACGTTGCTCTATTTAAAAGTAACAAGATTAAAGCACTTCAGCACATAAAATTAAGATTGTCACTTGCAAAATAGAGACTACACCCGCCTGTTTACCTATAAGAAACGCCTAAAAATATCTTTAAATTCTTTATTGATGATTTAATTGTAGACAACTAAAATGGCATTTTACTTGCCAAAAAGTGATTGAATCGCTCAGATTTTCATGGAGGCTAAAATTGACCAAATAAGGGTTTTATGTATTATCTGTTGATGTTATTGTACTCATACTGTCTACTGTATCATCATAAACACCCCAAAAATGGCAAAAAAAAGATTATTTCCCTTGCCAAAAATTGATTAGTGTCCTGGTCACCTGTAAAGGGTTAAATTTACCTAAATATTACTTTATTTATTATCTCTTGATGTTATTAGTGCCATCACAGGATGCTGGGTCTCTTCCACATTCATAAACACCCCAAAAATGGCTAAAAAAGATCATTTCCCTTGCCAAAAATTGATTACAGTGTCCTGGTCACCTGTAAAGGGTTAAATTGACCTAAATATTACCTTATTTATTATCTCTTGATGTTATTAGTGCCATCACAGGATGCTGGGTCTCTTCCACATTCATGAACACCCCCAAAATGGCTAAAACTAACTAAATAAAAAAAAAAGACAGTTTCACTTTATTGAGCTTATGTATATATATATATATATATATATATATATATATATATATATATATATATATATATATATATATATATATATATATATATATATATATATATATATATTTTTTTTTTACTTTCTTTTGTTTTTTGTTTAAAGATTTGTTATTATGTTAGGCTGAATTTTTTCAAGGCAACAAACTTTGCTCACAGCTCATTGGCCAATAGCGTTAATTAGTGGGCAAGTTGGTTAATTGCATCAACTGTCGGCGCATTTTGCAGTGCAAGATGGATGCAACCTTGCATAGTCAAATTTTGGCTTTCAAAAACGAAGGAATATATCCCCCTGGTCTTTCTCTTTCACAGAAGTCCAACTTTCGTCGAAAAGCCAAGAGTTTTGAGGTCCAAGGTATGTTTATTGGTTTCATAACCAGTTTTTCTGCTCATTACACAACTGCAAAGTCTGCTATGTTTTAATTATTATTTTTTGACCAGGTTTTAGAATGTATAAGTTGGCTTTACGTATACTTAACAGGGTTATCTTTATGATCGGGGCACGGCAGAGCCTCCCTAGTCCGACCAAAGTGCTCGACTCGGGTCATACTCGGACCCACGACCCAGCACGAGAAACGCAACTAATGGTCATCCTTTAGAGCTCCAAGGGGCACGGCAGAGCCTCCCTAGTCCGACAGAAGTGCTCGACTCGGGTCATACTCGGACATGTACCCCCCCACCTTTTCCAAACTCAAGGTTTGACCTCTGCATTTTTTACCATCCAAAAACAATATTACGCTATATTAAATTGACACTGGTTGAGCTCTAGGACCAAGCGGAAACCAACTGCTTGTTTTGAAGCCTGTTTCTCATTAGAGCATACTGTAAAGATACCCCCCCCACCCCTGTGCCCCCCCCCCCCACTTCTAAAGTGAAAATTACGTCCATGGTAGACAGAATATGTAGGCCTTATGTACATGCTCCATACTAAGAATGTTTTAAAAGGTCAGTCATGAGTACAGTGTTATTTTTTTCTCCACGAAAACAACCATGCAGTGTAAAGTATCAAATCAAGAAAAAACTTATGTTCCTTCATTTCGATCCATATTGTACTTTTTTGTACGTTGTTAATCAAAAGTATTCCTGTTTTGCTTTAAGGTCTTGCAGCGTTTCTACCACAGTGATTGCCTGAAATAAAAAAATAAAAAAGATGATAAAAAAGTTGTTTTAATTTTAAACCTTTAAAAAATAAGCTGTAGATCACACATTAAATGAGTGTAACAAGAAACATTTTTTTGGTGTCAATTCAATATTGTATGTCATACAAGTTAAACCAATGAATACCTGTAAAAAGCAAAACTTTAATTGAATGTACATGTAATCCAGTTTTTATTTACATATGAAATTCATTATTACACTTTTGCTTTACCAGTTTGCAGAGTGCATTCTCAGTGGCTCTCCTGTGGCATTTTACAACTCACCAAAAGCAATCAATGCTATTAGAGAGCAGATTGCTGTCTGCCTCTTGGAAAACACAGGTATCTTGGTGAAATATCATGCACATGTAAAACTCCTTAAATTTATGGTCCTGAAACTGCATATATTTTTGAGTGAAACAATATTAAATACACAAGAATATTAAATTACAGTTTTCCTCTTATTTTTCATGTACATACATAGATGACTTGACAGGAGTGTGTTATCTTTGTGACATGACATACGGCAACACTCACTGGGTAACTTATCCATGTTTTTAGTCATAAATAGACTTTTAAGAATATTACAATACACTGTAATAACATTGCATCTCATTGAGTTTAAGATAAACTAATGTGATTGTTTTAAAGTATCTTAAGAATTTTTCTAACTGAATTATTTTTACTTATTTTATTTATGTACTTTTTTGTCCTCTTGTCTCAAACAGATTGGATGTGATGTGTGCCCAAGATGGTACCACCAAAAGTGCCTGAGTAAGCCACCAAAAAGAAAGAAAGAAGAATATGTCTGTGAAGCATGTCTGTAAAGACACTGTATATGGTTTGATTAAACATATTTGTACCTATTTCTGTGGTTAATTGTAAATAGTTTCTTGAGATGTTTCTCCTATTTTAACTGTAAATCCTTCTAGCTGTTATATTTATAACAAGAAACAGATATTCGGACGGAATATTTTCATGTTTATTCGAATATGATTGTGGAACACACCCAGCATCATAATAAATGAAGTAATATTCATGTCAATTTAACCCTTTACAGGTGACCAGGACACTGTGATCACTTTTTGGCAAGGGAAATGATCATTTGTTGCCATTTTTGAGGTGTTTATGAATGTGGAAAAGACCCAGCATCCTGTGATGGCACTAATAACATCAAGAGATAATAAACAAAGTAATATTTAGATAAATTTAACACTTTATAGGTGACCGAGCCGATCTTGCACCCGAGCAGATCTTGTACCGACACCGGCGCGCAAAGCATGCTGGGATAGCCTTGTTCTACAGAGAAATCCAGGAAAACCAAATGATGTGGAAGGCCAATGGTGTTGCAGGTCACACCCACTGGCTTGACCGACGGACTGCTGTACAGTCTCATTATGAAATAAAGCAGCCATGGGAAAAAAAAACATCAAAACACTATTATTAAATAAAGGCTGTCTTTGTTAAAAAGATGTTATGTAATAAAAACTGAATGAATTGAATAAAAGAAGCTCAATATTAATTTGGATTATTATAAAAAATGACTTTTGAAAAAAAAACTTTATATTAATAGACATTTTAAAAGAAGAATGAAACATATTTCATAATATTGAGCTTAGATTTTACATAACATTCTGTTATTTCATCATTTCATTGTCAGCCTGACGAGTTTGCAGCCGCAAATGAAACGTTGCAGGTAAATAAAACCTTTCTGTGTTTTAAAAAGAACTAAAAGATGCAATTTCATTGTCAGATTACATGATTGTCTAGTATTTCTTCATGTAGATATTTATTTCATAATGTCTTATTTAGTTATTGATTTTTGAATACTTTTGGGTTCTATAAAAACAGCAGCGGTAGTTATTTGTTAATGGAGCAGGTAACCTTTAAATGGTCAAAAACACAGAATTATTCTTATGAGTGTTTCTTCTCTCCAGTCACAGAGGACCTGGTCCGCCGCCGAGCTGAACACAACGAGTTTGAAATCTTCTCACTGGAGGAAGTTTCTCTTCATCAGCAGGACATCGAGAAGATCGAACACATTGACAGGTGGTGCCGCGAACTGAAGATCCTGTACCTGCAAAACAACCTCATCCCCAGAATTGGTATCTTCTGTAGATGACTCTGTAATTTATTTGTATTCTTTGTAAACAGCAGATACATTATTTTGACATGTACATAACAAAAAGAGCCTTTCACTCTGACTTCACAGACTCTGTACTTTGTTCTTGTAGAGAACCTTGGTCGTCTGAAGAAGCTGGAATATTTGAATCTGGCTTTGAACAACATTGAAGTAATTGAGAACCTGGAAGGTCAGTGAAGCAAACAGAAGTGGATGATATCTGTGTGTTTTTTTTTTGTGTTTAACAATGAAGAATCAACAGGAACAGGTGCATTCTGTAACAACTTTTAAATATAAAATAATTCCATTTTATAATGAAATAAAATAAAAGTCCTCATTTGGTTTGATGGGTTTAATCACCTCTGCTGAAGATGATGTTTGTTTTTGCTTCCTTCCCTCAGGCTGCGAGAGCCTCCAGAAGTTAGACCTGACGGTGAACTTTGTTGGTGTTCTGACTAGTGTGGAGTCTCTGAAACACAACATCCACCTGAGAGAGTTGTTCCTGGTGGGGAACCCCTGCATCGAGTATGAGGGCTACAGGCAGTACGTTGTGGCAGCGCTGCCCCAGCTGCAGGTTCAACAAACTCACACCTCCAAACGTTGATTTAACAGTTTTAGGAGTGTCTGCAGATTAAGGGAAGGTCCTGCTCCATCTTCTAAATAGGGTTGGATTTAAACCTAGTTTTGTTTTTGGCAAAAACAATTATTTACTTTTTCTCATTATAGTGTGAACTTTTATCCGTTTCTGTAATGATTTCATTTGAGTTAAATTACTCGTAGATTATCGTCACAAATCATTAAAACCACTTCTGGCCTAAAGCCTCCAGATGGAACATCAGGATTAGTACCTTCATCAGAAGCCATGTCTACTGCCCCCTGATGGAGGATCTACAGGTGTAAAAGGGTTATGTGTAGAATTGCATAATAAGATAAAGCACATATTATTAGTATTATTAAAAACAATAAAGCATCAGATTCCTTGGATCTGAATCTGTTCTCTAGTTTCCTGTTCTGATAAATAAATGTGAGTCAGTTATTAGCAACCAGAACCGGATCTGGGATCTGGTTACTGGATCTATGAACGGAGCTCAGAGGTCTGCTTTTTAGTGAAAGTCAGCCAGGGTTTGTCCTCCCATTTACCAGGTAATTGCAGAACGGGTTAATAAAAGACTTTACATTATATTTAATTGTTCTAGAGTTGCTGTCATGTGCCACAGAGAATCACTTTGAGGGCTGCTTCTGGCCCACGAGCCACCCTTTTTATGGCGCGATATGGGGCCAAAATTAAGACTACTGCCCAGCAGCAGGAGTTGTTTGCTTCAGAATTCATATAGCCTCCTGCTGCTGGGCAGTAGTCTTAATTTTGGCCCCCATACCGCGCCATACCCTTTGGACACCCATGCAATAACCATAGTTTCTGTGTGTGTGTTCAGTGGCTCGACGGGACAGAGATCTACTGCTCTGAGAGGATTGGAGCTTCACAGGGTCTGGAAGAGGTGAGGAGACGAGTTGTGGAGCAAGAGATGGAGTACCAGAGGAGGAGAAGGAAGAAGAAAGAGGAGGTGCAGAGTAAAGAAGCAGGAGAGGAGAAGCAGAGGAAGCTAGGCTTCAATGCCCACTGGTACAACACCAACTCCATATTTGTTATGATTATTTTCTGAGTCTCACAGAAGATCTTTAAAAATGCCGTAAAAATTATTTAAAAAAAACAGTAGGAAGGGAAAAACTTTTACATTTTGTAAAGTAAAAATGTCTTACACTGAAATAAATTCAATGGATATTTTAGTTTAAACTAATTTCACTGAACTAACAGCTCACAGGAGGACCAAGAGCAGGTCGAGGAAGTGGAGCGAGCGTTCTGGCACACACCTTGTTCTTTCACCCCTGAGTCTCGTCTGCAGGCTCACCGTCACCTTGAGGAGCAGAGGAAGGCGAAGGAGGCGTAAGATATTATTTGTCTCGTATTTCTGCCGTAACTGATTAAATCCGAGGAATGTTCCTGTTTATTATTTCACTCTGTAGGATAATCCCAACTTCAATAGTGTTACCTCCCTGACCTTTGACCTGTTGGTTTATAGAACCAATAGGAAAACATTTAATTTTGCGTACGAGTCAAAAATCAGAGCTAGATCTGGTTTTACTGGCTCCACAGAAATATTAGTGAAAAGAAAGCAACCTGACGGGCAGGCGAACCGTAGAGCACACCCTGGCTCTAATATCCTATTATTTTTTGTTTGTTTATGCAGGTTTTAACATTTTTTACAGGGTCAATGGGACAAACAAGGTCAAACAATATGGACAGCAACAAAAGGGGCAGACAGAACGAGAGAGAGAGAGAGAGAGAGAGAGAGAGAGAGAGAGAGAGAGAGAGAGAGAGAGAGAGAGAGAGAGAGAGAGAGAGAGAGAGAGAGAGAGAGAGAGAGAGAGAGAGAGAGAGAGAGAGAGAGAGAGAGAGAGAGAGAGAGAGAGAGAGAGAGAGAGAGAGAGAGAGAGAGAGAGAGAAACACGCTCTTCTTAATTACAGCAGAAAAAAAACAAAATAGATGATCTATGTACTACTGGTCAGTTCAATTAAATTCAAGTTTATTTATATAGCGCCAAATCACGACAAGAGTCGTCTCAAGGCACTTCACATGATAAACATTCCAATACAGGTCAATTCATTAAGCCAGTCAGAAAAAAGTTTCCTATATAAGGAACCCAGATCTATCTCTTTTTTCTTGGAGTGGAGTATTCAAACGCCTAAATGGTTTCCATAAGTGACAAAAAAATCCTCATCAGGAAAGACTCCAGCAAAAAATACAAAACATGGAGAGATGTGACTGCTGTCGTGTTTTCAAATAATATTTATAAATCTTGATTATGAAGAAACTCATTTGGTAAACCACAGATTAAAAGTTTGGGACACCTGGGTATTTTCAGATTTATGCCCTGAAGAAGATCCTATGTGACCGTTTAGCTGAAGTTTCACAAGTCAGTCACTAGGTGTCACTAAAGCACCGTTGATAAATGTACCAGAGGTTTGGAGCTGAATAAAAACCCAGTTATACATATAAGGCAGACAGTTCAAACTAAAATTATTATTTATTGATATTAATTGATTTACGAGGCACTGAAAGTGATGGGTGTCTGTGGAGAGTTTAGCCTGATAGCTTTTGTTGGTCCGTGACCCATCCTACTGCACCACGCCCGTGCTAGGTGAACAGTTTGGTGATTATCCTGAAATAAGTGATAACAAGATCAAGGCAGTTCAGCCTGCTTAAACCAGATTGTATTCCAAAGATCAGATAGAAACCTGGACCACATCAGTTAACACACAAATAATCCATCACTCTTAGAATGACCTCAGTTTGAAGAAAATGAGATCTCAGACTCACTTTTCATAGCAGTTTACACAAAGCCTGTTTTATTACTTTTTTATTATCTAAAATGTCACATCTCAGGGTCATTGCTGTATAATTATTGTTGAATCCCAACCAGAAGTGCAACAGTAGCTTGCTCAGCGGCTAGTTTTAGCTCCAAATCCCCACAGAACCCTTTATAAAGGTTTGTCTGAACTGCTTTCAAATGTTTGAGATTAAAGTTGTTTTAATACCTGGTCCCATTCACTAAAGTCTGTTTCACCAAGCTGAGGTTGTTCAAAGTGCCATAGACAAAACGTAATACAGGAGTTGCCTTCTCATGTAAACACACCTGAACTCTACCTGACTGTATGCGAGCGAAAAAAACGTATCAGTAAAATCTAAATGTCCAGTCCAAAATTCATCTCGAGTCTCTGCAGGTGACTCCTGAAAGCAAGAACGCAAGACAGGAAGTTAAACATAAATGTGAGCGAGTTGTTTCCTTATAGGAAGTTGTAAAAGCACTGAAACATTCCCTACCAGGGCAGACCAGTTGGTTCTGGTTCGGCTGTCAGGTTAATGAGGAGCTTAATGAACAAACGGTTCTGCAGCAGTCAGACGTCAGAGAGGATTGTGTTCTGCATTTGTTCTGAACAGAAGGACACGAGGGTGTCAGTAATCCTGACTGAAATAAGAGCAGAACATTTATGTGACAGAACTGGACTCTGATGACTACACAGACGGCCAACAGAGACACAACCGTCTGGATTTAAATCTAAATCTGATTAAACAGCAATCCAAACAGAAGCAGGGCTTATTAAAAGTTCTGCTGGAGCGAAAAGCAGCAAAAAGGAAAACAGCACCGCCGGCTGGAAAAGCACACGTCTGGAAAGTTTTTTTTATTTATGGCAAAACAAAGTAACTTGAAAGGGGCCACATCATGGAAAACCCCTTTTGGGAGCTTTTAACCAGGTGATATTGTTGTTTCTTCATGAAAAATACACCCAAACCCATTTTTGGCTGCATTCGTGCATTTTCCTGTGTCAGCTGCAAGTTTTCAGATTCTGAGTAAGGAGCAGCAGACACAAGGATGAAAACTAAATGCGTCACCAGGCCCTGCTCCTCCCCTTGAAGCTAGTCTCAGTTCTGGAGCCGTGAGTGGAGAGCGGTTGGTTTCATGCTGCAGGTGAGGATGTGACCTCCACCGGTGCCAGAGTGGAGATTCTGACAAATCACTTCTACTTTGGGGATGAGACACGCGGCTGAAATGAGTTTTCTCTGCAGGGCGGCTGGGCTCTCCCTTAGAGATAGAATGAGAAGCTCGGCCATCTGGGAGGGGCTTGGAGTAGATTTGCTGCTCCTCCACATCAAGAGGAGCCAGTTGAGGTGGCTTTGGCATCTGGTTAGGATGCCTCCTGAACGCCTCTCTGGTGGGGTTTTCTGGGGACGTCCAACCGGGAGAAGACCTAAAGGGAGACCCGGGACACGTTGGGGGGACAATGTGTCTCACCTGGCCAGGGAACCCCTTGGGATTCCGCTGGAAGAGCTCGCCCAAGTGGCTGGGGAGAGGGAAGTCTGAGCTTCTTAACTTAGGCTGCTGCCCCCGCGACCCGACTCTGGATAAGCAGAAGAGAATGGATGGATGGAAGGATATTGTGCCTAACTTTGCTCTCAAAGGCTTAAAGTAGAATGATATTGCCCCTTTAAAATGATTTAAACACCTGTCAATCTTCAGTTATTCTATATTATTTTGTCTTTAGAAAGTTTTAGTTTTAGCTATGAATCACTAAAATCTAACAGAAATATTTGAGCCATTTTGAGTAGACTCTTGCAAGGTCAGGTCAGGCTCTGTAACCATTACAACTCAAAAAAAATATTTTAAACTGACTATGTGCTCTTTATAATCAGATTTGCGATTTTTAATGGAATAAACTAAAAAGCCTCATGAGGAAATAAATCTTTCTTGCTCAGAACTAAACAGATACGTCAGTTCATCCCTTTTCAAATAAAAATAAGCTGTTAGAGACGATTAAACAGGTAGTTTTAGTTAAGTTCATCCCAATAAACATGTCAAACTCCCCCATCGGCTTCTTGGTTATTATGACTTTAACATTTACTAGAAAAGTATTTGCTATTTTGTCTTCATTGTAAAAGTAACTTACGTTGTCATATTTAGACATTTTCCCATAGAATATTTATTTTAAAATGCTGTAACAGGAAGTCTTACTTTAAAGAACAGGAAGTGCTCTATAGTAACATTAACGTAAAAGCAGCAGAAAAGCCACATAGGAGGGAAATACTTTTGTTTTATAATAAGAAATGACCTTCCTTAATTACATATGCTACTTATTGGTTATATTAATTATTTATATTTCATGGTATAAAGTTGTGTCCAAAGTGAATTTATAGTCAGACTAACTGACTACTTTTGTTATTACTCTCATCACCCTGTGGAAACAAATATTAAAAATGAAGTTATTCAGGTACGAGTATGTGATCAGGAGCCAGTTCAGAGGGCCTGAAAGCTGCATGTTGAGGACCCCTAATGTAGTGAAACAGTCAGGTAATAATTATGTTAATAGTGAGTTCTAGAACCCATGAAGACTTTAGTCAGCATCATGTGATCTACGTGCTTCATCTGAGTTGTGAAGGTTAAACTCCCAGCTTACACACACACACACACACACACACACACACACACACACACACACACACACACACACACACACACACACACACACACACACACACACACACACACACACACACACACACACACACACACACGCCGCTGTCCAGACATAAATGGAGCATGTTGAACAGAAGTTGCTGACCTGTTTGTGGGTCGGAGGGTAAAGACGATGTCAGCGTCTGTTGATGTGAGCGATCTGACGCGACGCAGAGGAGGGTTAGGATGTCGAACACGCAGCTTTTTAGGAACATTTATCTTCGTTTGCATGAACATGTAGAGTTTTACTCTCTGCTGTCATCAGCCCACCTGAGCTGATGATGCTCTCCGTCTGCCACCAGCAGGGCAGGGAATAGGAACAACAATATTATGAAATAATTCATTCATTCATGCACACATTTATAGACGTTCATTTTAGTGAAACCCTCTTCTTTGAAAATGGCTCTCCTCTATTGAATATTTACCTGAAGTTCAAACTCACTCTCATTAAAAAGAAGTCAGTTCAAAGTATTTAGGTTTGGATCCAAAATATTTAGATTTCATTTTACATACAGTTTTAAGATTTAATTGTATTAGATGTTACTTATTTAGATAATTTATTTTTGTTTCTAAATGTTTTTTAACATTAGCTTTTGAACCTTAACATGGTAAAATATAGCTGTTAGTTTTGAACGTGTTACTTCTTCTACTTTACAAATACGATATGGGATCAGCTGATTAACCATGGAGCCCGTTTACTGCTTGTTGACAATCTCACAGACGGCATCATAAGAAACCCTAAATGTTACATATCAGCCTGCTGTAGAAGCAGCTGACAAGGACAACAGTTTAAACGAGCAGTGATGTTCAATATTCTCGAGCTGTCTGTTCCACTGGGGCCTGAAAACCAGGCGCTATGACTACTGAATGCCC